GGCACTGGGCAGCAGAATGCTGCTGTCACTTCACACTGGGCTCCATATTTATACTGCATGAAAATAATATTTGACAAATACTCTTATAGCCAGTGGAGGTGGGAAAAAGGAAAAGTTTCTCTTTTTCACTACCAACAGTTTCAGTTTTCTTTTCTAGCCAAATAAAACTGCAAATATTTATGGCTTTATTTGTATGTTGTTGTTGGTTTGGGCAAAAATGGGAACATGAACTGACCAAAAATAGAAATGCTGCATACTTTATAGCTTCCCATGCCCAGGATGAGCAAAACACAGTAGCCAAACAAAAAGAATTTACAGTGGTAAGGGTAAATATCATTCCTGCTTCTGTTTTCAAGACCTATTAGAAGCAGAGGTAAGGAAATCTATTTGTTTTAAAAATATGATTTTTGAAATGACCACAATGTTCCTTTTAAACTGCACTGAAATACAAGATAAAGACAGGGTATTGAGTGAAAGAGTGCTGATGGCGCTTTTATTGTGTGATTTGCCTTGTTTTTTTCTGAAGTACTTCTTTTTAGCCGATTACCATGTATTTACAGTTAGTGTAATTATATCTAATTACTTAATTAGCATGAATACGTGTAATTACTAACTTCAAATATGTAATTATGTCAGGGCAGCCTGTAATAAATGAGGTTGGAAAAAACCCTCATTAGGACTCTATGGAAGGACGGCTGCTCCACCCATGTGGAGAATGCATCCCAGTCCCCAGACTGCGCCAGTCCTGGAAGAGAAAAACACAGCCAGCTCTGGTTTTGTCTGGCAACAGCCTCCACCAAAATCAAGCCACTTGCCCCAAAAGTCTAGCTTCACAGCATGGTTGGGAACCAAGCATCCACTCATGGGAGACAGACAAGGATCAGCAAAGGATTTTCCCCCAGATTAATTTTCTCTGTTAAGGTTTTCATTTTTTTTCTCTGATTTCTGTCATTCTCAAGAAGACCCCTTTGGTCTGACAAGAAATATCAGAGAATAGAATAATTGCAAAACTCTGCTCTGGCTTTTGAGGAAAGCTTAAGAGATCAGATCCAAGAAGTAATCTCCATCTGATGGATCATGCTATTAATTACTGTTCTTAAAGTAAAACAATCTTCCAAAATGTTTATTCTGAAACATTACCAGTCTTTCACTGCAAAAATCTTCAGTTACTCATAATTACGCATTTTGCAAATTCAAATCCTGAACGTCAGGAGATGAAGCTAAGGTTAAAAGTTGCTGTTACTGCCAAGAAGCATATGTATAAAAATGGTGTCCTTACCAACAGCCTCATAAGCTTATTCTGAGCCGATGCTGACATTTTTTCCAGTCACCAGGAGCTATCCACTGTAATGAGCTGTCTTTTCCTGCCCAGAAGGACAGATAGCCATTTTCTGAACACAGACGAGGGTAGATTGGATCATGTTTTGCATTACCAGAATCCCTGACCATAGGATTGAGTCATGTGGTCCTACACCATATCTCCTCTTCACATATTCTGTCCACAGTGCTTGCTCCACAACAAGTCCCATTCTTCTCTCATCTAATTCCAAATATAGAGAGGTGCAAACTCATCACAACGTGTTGCTCCTCCTGCTGATATCTGCCAAAATGATATGCCACTTGGTTTCTCTTCCATGTGTAAAAGGTCAGGAGAAAAAGATTATTTCAGTTTATTCTTCTGAAATTGATTTTTGGTTGGACTGTTCCCATTGCTAAGCTCTTTGGTTAACCCTCCAGGTAGGGCCAAGGATGGTTGAAACAAGGGTTGGTTGCAAGGGTAGTGCTGCCCAGAATGGCATGGAGTTACAGCGTAACGATGGGGGGAGCATCTTCTCAGACTCAGTGCTCCATCACAAGAAAGGAGAGTGGTGCAGTTTCTTCCACACCCCTGAGAAACTTTCAGCCAGGAAGGGAAAGAGGACCCTGAGCCAAGTTTGTCCTTCCTGCTCCTCTAAATCAGGCAGTAGCAGAAAGGAGGCGAGACAACTGCAGGAATCCCAGAAAGTCAGAAGTGAGAGCTGGCTCCTGTGCCCTTCATCCCATCAATGCAAGGACAGCACATCCCCAGTGAGGAACATGCCTCTTTCTCCTTGAGGGCATGTTAACAAGAGCAGCCCAGAGGACAGCATTGCACAACAGGAGCGAGAGGGGCTGCAGCTCCACGGGCAGGGAGCTGCTCTCCATATTTCAGCTGCAATTCCATTATGCAGAGCTAAGTGGCTGGGAATAAACATCCGTCATCCCTGCGTGATAAGCGATGTTTGCTAGTATAGAGGGTGACAGAAATCTATATCACATCAATGTACTATTAATACTGCATTAAGCATATAGAGTTTGCTCTCCTCATTGCATCACGGCAATGGGTATTGGCATGTCCTCAACCCAGGCAATATCCAAGAACACAGGGATGCTTGCAGGAGGAAGGAAGGAGGAAAGCTTCATGATGAAGAGGGAAACTGCTTGGTGAAGGTGTTGCTCCAGCAAAACCTCAGTGCAAAGGAGAGATGCTGGGTGCCATGGAGCACCTTTGCTCACAGCTGGACAGCAGCTCTGTGGGAGGTGGGTGGCAGGAGAGAGATGACAGCTTGCATCAGTACAAGCTCAGCTGGGCATTGAGGCACTCCCAGCCCAGAGGAGTTCTCCTCTCTACAAGTGACAGCAAATGAAAAACTCTTTGTGTCCAAGCTCTGCACAGGGGGAAAGAAAAACCCTCTGGCGTGAAAACCACAGGGAGAACAGGAGCAACAAATATTCTCCAGCTCAGGTTTTAAGTTGAGCAGAGCACATCAGATCAAACAAACTCCTTACAGTGAAAGTTCCCCAAAGCATGGTTAATTTAAAAGGTGAATTATGAAACTTTCCAGCCTCAAGCAAAGCCACCAGTGAAGTCAGAAGTTTCGTCCAAGTGAAGTCTTGGGGACTAAAATACAGAACAGTCACAAAATTCAACCCTGCCTGAGGTCTCAAAGCCTGTTTTGCCCCATGAATGGCAAACAAATCTAAAAAAAAAAAAAAATATAAGAGCTTTCAGCCTGCCAGCATCTAGCTGTAGCTTGCCTCTTGTTAGCACCCAAAGAGGGTACCTGGTTTCAGCCCCACTGCCTCACAGCCCAGCCCTGGGAGACCTGGATCTCAAAGGTAGCAATTTGATGTGGATTTCCAAGTATGCACAGTTGTCATTAGTGCTGTATTTCACCCCTATGGCACCATCCACAGGAGAAGCAGCTCCAGATGCCACCCCCAAGCATCCCTGTGAACTCTTCAGATCCTAATCAAATAGCCCCGTGAAACTCTGAGGCCAAACCCTGCCGCAAGCAGCTTCCCCTGCAACCCGCCCAGCTCTGACAAAGCCACACGGGGCAAACGCTCAGAGCACAACTTAATCCTTTGAGCTCTGCGACTGCACAGCTGCAGCGGCACCCACGTCTTGCAGTGGTCGGCGCACAGATTAAAGAGATTCAAGAGAGCACAAGAGGGGAAGGTAAAAATAAAGCGGGGGAGCCCCACCTCACAAACCAACAGAGTTTGTAAATCATTTTGAGATGAGGTGCTATAAGAAATGTAAAATATATAATTAACGGCACAGAAGAAACACGCTACATTCAGCTTCTCCGTTCCTGCCTAATCACCACCCTCCTCCTCCCCTCTCTACAAACAGACCAAATTTAGTACATTAAGATGAAAATCAAAGGGTATGCCGTGCGCATTCATTGGGTACACCCCATCGCTCTGGCAAGCAAAGCACAGTGATAACAGCTTGGGCAGTGGCTCACAGCACCCGGGAGGGGCTGCCCCAGGGACACCTCCACAGGAGCAGCAGCTGCAGCTCCCCATCCTCTGACAGGAGGAGTGGTGGCCAGAGAGCTGTGCACTCCTGCCAAGTGCTTAATGCTGAATGAGTTTCCGCAGGTTGGGAGATCGGCCTCCTCCCTGTTTCCAGGGGCTGAGTTATGCCTCCTGCTCTGATGAGTCAGCAGCAGCCAAGGGGAAAGCAGAGGTGACTTCAATGCAACACTCCCTGCTTCTGGCTGGGCCACAGAGATAGCACAAGTTGGGGCGTTTTTCCCCTTTATTTTTTTCAAGCTTTTTATTTTTCCAGTTCTACCTGGAACAAAGACACACCAAAAGGATGAGCAATAACAGGAGAGGAACATTATCCGAACCTCCTGCATTGCTTGGCTTGCATCTCAGAGCTGGTAAGAGGCCTGGGAGAACTCAACTACCATCTCCAAGCTGCGTGCCAGGGAGGCTGCATCTCGCCGCTCGCGTGGGAAGCTCTGTGCGACTCCCAGAAAAGCATCCTTTTACCCAGAGCTTTTCTTTTATGCTCAGAATCTAGGAACACGAAATGGAGAGTACCACTTGATCACCACCTGCTAGTCTAACGAGCTCAGTTCACAACCCAGATTTATACAGGGAAGATGCAAAAGCTTTACAGAAGCCCATGAAAACAAGACATCCACCATCAAAGCCTCCTGCTCCTTATCTCCATGCATCTGCCCCATCTATAGCCACGTGTCCTGAGTTCCTCCCTGGCCCAGTGGGGAGCCAAAGGGGAAGCCCCATGACTGGGAAACTGCTGGAGGAAGGGGAAGCAGGTCCTTTCCCTGGCCAGGCAGGGGTCACGTACATCCCCGTGCTCCCACATGGCTCTTGCTCACACCTGGGACCTCACACTCAGAGCCAACGAGGCAGACCCCAGCTTCAAATGGCACTTTCAAGCAAAGGGGGGAAGGTGACTGGTGGGTGGCGGAGGGAGGGTGAAAGGAGGTGAAGGTGAGGGTGGAAAGTCTTCTCTGGAAGCACCTACATGTATGTTGTGAATTCTGAAACCTGAGATTCACTTTGGTTTCTGGACCATACCAAGACCCACTCTCCTCAAAAACCTCCTTCTCTTCTTCCTCATCCTCTTAACGTCTTCCTCCTCGCCCCTCCTTTCCCCATCCCCCCAACCCATCCCCTGGTCCTTGCAGGGGGCTCCGGCCGGATCGGGCACTCACACGTGTCTGGCTTGTGACAGTTGTGTCCTTGTCGGAAGTACTGGGGGTTCTCGATGACAGGAATGCGGGTCATGCCAATCACCACTGTGTCCGGGCCAGCATCGAGGGATGAGGGCGTCGTGATGCCATGGTTGATGTGGTGAAGGGGACTGGCTGAATCCTCCTCTCCGCTGATCACTGCCACAGGACCTGAAAACACCACACACATCTGTCAGGCACAACAGGGGAAAGGGGACCCATGAGCCCTGCTGACCTTGCAGGTATGGATCACTGTGGGCCAGCAGTGGATCACCAGCAGCCCCTGGACAGGATGTTTGTCCTAGTACAAGTATCCCAATGCAGTTGGCCCATCCCCACACAGCTCACAGGACAGGAAAGACATCTCAAGTTTTCTTTCCTGGTTTTGAAGTACCAGGCTGACAATCCTGCAGGTGACACTACAGCAGAAGTGAGTGCTGCACAAAGTCCTCTCCCAGGGCTGTCACAAGATAGAACAGTCACTGTGGTGCCTGTATACCCTGTCATCATGAGCTTGGCCAAATACATAGCTGAGCTTAGACTGGAGAAACATCACCCCCTAAGAAGATCTATTTCACCACAAGCCCATATTCACTCCATGACTCTTGCCCAATTTGTCACCCATTGTGTGTCCCCTCCTCCAGTTTCACTCAGGCACACACATGGAGACCTTCAGTGAGGCTGATACCTGCAGGGACCCATGATGTACTGGAGCAGATCCTGCTTAGCTCATGCTGTGTACCACCATGACCACAAATGACATGTCCCCCTTATCCTCCTGACCCTGAAAAGCTCACAACACCATCAGACAGGCAAGGAAATTAGACAAAGTAATCAACCCCACAAAATGAAAGTAGTGGGAGTCTTCATGGCTTTTCTAGTGTTCATTGCTCTCACTGGAGCAAGGATACAGAGGGAGTTTCCCATGAGAGGAGTGCTGTTCCACGCTGGCACCTCTTGGAGGCCACAGACACCCAAAGATGGTAGAGAGCAGAGGCCCCAGTAAAATATGGAGAAGTCAACACCACGAATTTTAGAGTGAGCCGCAGCAAATCCAGAAGACTCTCTCCTCCTTGTCTCCTCTAATTCATCTGCCACCATCTCAAATTCTTTTTAACTCCCAATTCCCCATTTGCAGCTTGCTCACAGGACCTGTTATCGATCCCTGCCAGGCTGAGGGGGAGCTGATAGACAGTTCATGGTGGTCCCTCTGCATTGACCTGCAAGCTGCTGCTCCATGAGCAGGGAGTCCTCAGCACCCAACACCTTGGTCAATACACACAAGAGACCTTCCTACTCCCCAAGTGTCTCAGCACCCACCAGCACCGCAGCCAAACGCTGCCCTTCTGGCTGGTCCACATGCCTCCCCCAACTCCCATGACACTCGTGCATCCTTGTCTACCTCTATGGAGCAGGTCCCCAAAATACCAGCATGCCCCAATGCACCCACATTGATCTCTCTCCTACAGAAGACCAGTCAGCAATTGTGCTCCAGCTCCTTCAGCCTCCTGCCCCATCCATGACTCCTTACACCCAAATGCCTACACCCAAGAGCATCACTGCTCTAATCTTGCCCTAATCAACGGCCGTGCTTCTTCCTATAGGTAAAATAAACTGATGAAGTAAAGAACATCCATACTTGAGCGCAAAGACCTGCTTCCCAAATAGAGCTATTTCACAATATTCAGCGGTACCCCAATTTTTGGCTTACGCTTTATTTTCTTTTTAGACCTCCTAACTTCAGCCTTTGCTATCAGCTGTCAAGGCTGGAAACCTTAGGGGACATCAGGCCTTAATACATCATCCCCATCTCCATCTATTCTCACCCATCCTGGGGCCCAACCTGCCAGACAACTTCACAAACACCTCCAACACAAGGTGAAACACTTTAATCCATGCTGCAGCCATTCATGCTGTATAAACACAGGATGCTGAGGACTTGGGTAATTTGGGGACCACATTGCAACCTTCCATGAGGACTGCCCTTATCTACTTACATGGGGGAAAAAAAAAAAAAGCACACTTAACTACAGATGCTCCTTTTCTTCTGTCTAGATGCTACCAGGGGCTACCAGAAGCTCAAGCAAAAACAGAGAAGCTGCATTGAGGCTACAAACCTATTCAGAGAAGCCTGTATTTTACCTACATTGAGTAGAAAATGCCTCTCTCTCCCATCAGTAATCTGCTTCTAATTGCATAATTACTTTATTATGTAGCACTACCAACAAAGAGGGGAGTCTTCAAGCCATTTTACTTTCGGAAGCTTCTGGGAAGACAGAGCAAACACAGGCTCCATGCAGTCATTCTGCCTGCATTTATCTAGTCTAAAGGCTGCTCATTTTTAGAGCTTGAAGTATTGTTTGTTCTTCCAAGTGGGATATAATAAAGTTATTGTGTAATTAGTAGAGTCCTGGCAGCCGTGACAGGTGTTTTAGTCACAAGGCAAAAAAGTCTCTGCCTTTATTGTGAATTCCTTCTGGCAGGTTCTGGCTTTTTTTTTACGTTACTCCCTGGGCCCGCATGACTTCCAGCTTTTGAGACACAAAGGCAAAATTCAGCTCTTGCTGCAAGATGCCTCTGTTGGGACTACACACACTGTATTTCTCCAAATACAAAAAGCAAACAGGCAATTTCAATTTGAATTACTTTTGTTCTTTCACAACGTCAATTCTTTGCATGCAAACCAGGAGAACTGGGGTTTGCATGTTGCGCATGTTTCTTCAGCTGTACCCCGCACTGCTGGTGAGCCCAGCTATGGTGGGGAGACCTCTGCATTTCAAGGTGCTGTTCATAAAACAAGTCATAAAAATATCAGCTGGTATAGACTGGTGTAAATAATTTGAGGACAGACCATAAAGATCTCACTTGAAGCAGAGTGATGGGAGAGGCTATTGAGGGCTTATTGTTTTCCCTAAGCAGCTAAGGTGTTGTTTCAAAGGAAGGTAACTAATCCAGCAGTGGGATGTGAAACACATCTCTAGTGAATGATATGAAGGAAGTATTTGTTGTCCTCTGCTTTCAGAGCAGAAATCACACCTGACACAAGGAGCAAAGAGGATATCTCCTACAGCATTAGTACCAGAGGGATATGGTTGGTTTCATAACCAACCATGGGACACATGCCAGGCTGGCACAGATCCTGCTGGGGACATAGTTTTCAGGGGCTCAGAAAGCCCTGCCAGCACTTAACTCTTGCTGTCTTTGCTTGCACGGGACCTCCTCATTTTTAAGGAACACAGATCATGGCAGTATCTCTCTGTCACAAGCAGGTTAGAAGGTCATGACTACATCTAAAAGAGTAGGGCATGATCAAGGAGGACAGGTACTTGTGAAACTAAGCACAGTCAGCATGTATTAACCAATGTTCTGATGGCAATTTCCTTGCCAATAAACAGATCCTTCTTTAAACTCTGCAGGTTTTTTCTGCAGCTCACTTCCTAGGTCTTTCTACATGTGTTATCCCTAGTCTCATACCCCAAACCTGTCCAAGATCTATGGGATAAGAGGTAACCATGTCTCAGCTGATCCACAGTTGCATTCCCATTCCCCAGCAAACACTGGATCCTGTCAACGGACTCATCCTCTTAGTCATCCAACTCAAGTCAATGCTGTCAAGCTTAGACATCTAAAAGGTTTACAAACCCTCAAAAATCTCAGAGCCAAACTCTAATGCTCCATGACCACCTCAACCCCTTCCCATTTCTGCAGAAGTGGGAAACCCCAAGAACTGCCAAGGCAGTTGTAGTCCTGAGACCACAGGTATAGTACACCACAAAGTATATTCTACCTTTGCAATAATCCCGGGAGTTTACTGCCTCTGACTGTATTACCAGGTCTTGAAAAAAAAAAAAAAAAAAAAAAATCACATTCTTAAGAGTCCTAAGGAACACACCTGGCAGATGCAATGCACTAGATTTCAAGCTTTCAAAAATGTTTCTGATGATAGTAGGCACTGAGCTGGCATGGACATATCATTCAGACGATTCATCCTAATATCCTCCACAGAACGTAATTAGATTAAAGACCTAATTTACAGTTGAGGACTTCTCAAGTTTCTCCTGTTAACTTTTCTTTTTGGAGGGGAGGTGTAGAAATCTGGACAACATTAAGTCCTACAACAGAGTCATGGCTCTTTATCACTTTCATTCTTTCATTCCCACCTCTTCTGGCTGGTCACAGCTGAGATGCAGTTCCCCGTAAGTACATGGCCACTCTGCTGCTCCTCAGACTCAGGCAAGGCTGGAGTCACCACACAAGTGTGAGAAAAACTTTAAAAACATCACTGATATCAAGCAGTCACTGATTACTTTTATAGGTTTGACTAGAGCTCTGACACTCAAAATAGATACTGCCATTAGTAACTCCTGGAAATAAAGCAGCTACCTAGACTTCAACTTTCTTAATCTGTCTTGGCAACAGCATATATTTTTTTGCTGTTAAGTAGGTAAAGAGGTTGAGTTTCTGATGTATAATCTTGATGAATGGCCTTATTTGGAAGAATTCTTACCAGCTTCAACAGTGTATTTTCCAGGTAAGGTTAAAGGAAAAAACGGAGTAAACAGAAAAAGAAACTACAGATTTTAAGATTTAGGTTTACCTTCCACTTGATAGAGAAATGGGCAGAGGGATATAGAAAAGTAGCTAGTTTTGCATTGTAAAATTGCAGAGTAATAGTCAAGGGCAGCCTGGGGTAACCTTTGATATACCATCCTATGATCTTCAAACACAATATAAAGTATTTTGGAGCTCCTCTGAAACTTCAAGTCTAAACAGTGATGCAGTAGCTGTTACTGTGAATAACTCAGCCTGTGTTATGGACAGACATACTGTGGATATTAACTATAATAAGAGTCCATTCATTAATACTTTAAGAAGCCTTTGTACATTCTGAGCATCAAATGTGTCAGGTCTATACTCTGAAAGGCTTTCGATGGCTCTCCTTCCATACAAGAAGGAGTCTCACCAGCCAACAGCACCCACCCTGCCTGCAAGGACAGAGTTTAGCTGTTCTCCATGCTAAGCCTGTGCAGTTTTCCTGCCAGGGAAGCAACGTCAACAGCAGTGATGGAGCCACAGGGCTGCAGGAAAAGGCTGGGGTGATATTAAGGATGCCCCAGGACTACCCCTGGGTGAAGAGGCAGTCAGCCCCTGCACCAGCCCAGCAGTACAGC